CTGTGCGGAAAAAGAGATGTTCAAGCTGGCTTTAGAAAAGGCCAAGGAGTTGGTGATGCATGCTGGATAATTGAGAAAGCAAAATAATACTAAAAAGAACTCAATGTGTGATTCATTGATTATAGAAAGGCCTTCAATTGTGTCAATCACATCAAGCTGTGTAATGTGCTCAGAAAAATGGGAATCCCAGAACATTTCATTATCCTCGTGAGAAACTTATATATAGATCAGGATGCCGCAGTATAGACAGAACATGGTGAAACAGACTGGCTCCAGGTTGCAAAGGGCAAGGCTGTATACTGTCCCCTTATTTAATCAACCTATATGCTGAATATATATTAAGGGAAGCTGGATTGGAAGATCAGCATGTTTTTAGAATTGGAGGAAGAAATGTCAATAACCTGTGCTATGCTGATGACACTATCCTGATAGCCAAAAATGCAAAGGATTTGCAAGCTCTAGTAATAAAAGTTAGGGACCAAAGTGGAAAAAATGGGTCTAAAATTAATTATAAAGAAGATCAAACTAATGACAACAGATAGAACAGCCTTAGAATTGGCAATGAAGATATTGAAGTGGTAGATAGCTTCTGCCTTTTAGGATCAACCATCAACAGTAAAGGAACAAGCAGTCAAGTAATATATTGCAGACTAGCACTTAGTTGAGTAGCTATGTTTGGAAAAGATATTCAAATGCTGTGATTTGTCTATATCTACAAAGATCAGAATTATGCAAGCCATGGTATTACCTGTGACACTGTATGGAAGCAAAACCTGGACTTTGAAGAAGCAGAATAGGAAGGGTATTGACACTTTTGAATGTTGGTATTGGAGAAGATTCCTGAGAATACCGTGGACAGCCCAAAAATAAACTAATGGATCACTGAACAAATCTACCCAGAGTTCTCACTCAAGACACAAATGACCAGGCTCAAATTATCCTACTTCAGACACATTATGCGGTTTGGTAGCTCTCTGGAAAAGACTCTAATGCTGGGAAAGGTGGAAGGAAGGAAAAGAAGAGAGTAACCAGCAGCAAGAAGGATGGACTCAGTCATAGTGGCAATGGGTGCAATGTTGGAAGACCTGCAAGACTAGGTGAGGGACAGATCATTGTGGAGAAAATCTATCTCTGTGGTCACTAGGAGTCAAAAACAACTTGATAGAACATAATCAATTTGTTTATTATCAGTCTTGAGGGGTTTTGTCATTTTGCTTTGAAAACTACCTCTGCCACCACAAAGTATGCTAATTACAGACGCTTTAGCACAACCATACATATACACAAAAAGGCTTTTTATAGCCCTGCCAGACCCTAAGGCTTCATGTGTATTATTTGATGCTTAGTATATAGAATCTTCTGCTAGTTTCCATAGCATGTACAACTTCTAATGTTTATCTTGTTGCCTTTTGTCTAATTTAGGAATTTCCTTGCAAACTCCTGGAAAAAGTAATAGGTTAAATTAATGGAGATATATATAAATATAAATAAATAAAATTGTCACCACCCATCTCATTGAATGACTCTGGGAGGTTTAAAATAAATTAAAATTACAAAATTACAATAATAAATAGAAAATAAATTATTTATTTAAAGAAAATAATAATTTTATTATTATTTCTTTGACTTCCCCCCAAAATTATTATTAATCAGTCTTTCTTTTTTTCTTATTAAAATGACCATTTCTAAAAAAGTGCAAATTCTAATTTATTGTATAATTTGTTCTTTTTATCAGCTACCAAAGAAGAAAAGGAGTAATTATAAATGAAACATCTGTAATTGTATATGCTCAGTTACTAACTGGGAGTAGATATCAGTTAAATCAAAATGGTGAAGTGTATTTTGAAAAGCAGTGGTCCAAGCAAATTCTACCTTTTGCATACCAGACAATTGTCAAGGTGATCTTTTCAAGTTTGTTATTGTAATATGTATTTACATATCTATCGATTCAAGTAATCCATAATATTTACTAGCAGAGTTCAAATTTAAAATATTTTTTCCTGTTTAAGCTTCTTAATGTCTTAGAATGAATGAGTATGTGTGTGTATATGTACATATACACGTACATATACACATAAATCTAGATGCAGAGGCCTTCAGCCTTATTTTTGCTAGTCTACAATCCTACGAGAGTGCTGTATCCAATGAGAAGTATGCTCTGTTAGCAACATTCTTCAGTACAGTGGGGAGAGAAGGTCTGTTAACCCTTTATAACTTCCTGTAAACCAGTAGTATATGACCTATGTGATCAAAGCTTCATTAATCCACGTTCGGGCAGATGGTTTACAAATGGAGAAAATGCAGCACCATTGTTATTATTCCCAGGAATAGTAGTCCAATAAAAAGCATCTCAAGAGCAAGGCAAACAGTGCTTCAGGAAGTTGCAAAGAACTCCAGGGTGACAGTAAAGGATCTGCAGGACACTCTTGCATTGTTTATATTCAAGTCCACCATAAAGAAAACACTGAACAAAAGTGGTGGTGGGGAGGTGCCACTGCTGTTTGGAAAGCATACTGCCGCCTGTGGCATGTGGGTCATGTGGCACAACTGGATCTAAACACACAAGTAAATCTGTAACAGAATGATTGAAGCAGAAGAAATTCTGTGTTTGGGAATGGCCAACTCAGAGCCCTTGGCTAAATCAACTGAAATGTTGTGACATGAGCTGAAACTAGTAGTTTATGAAGTTAGACCAAAAATATCCATGAAATGAAGCTGTGCTATAAAGAGGAACAGGCTGCAATACCTCTAGCCAATGTGCGGAGTTGATGTACAGGAAATGTTCAGTTGAAGGCATCGCTGCTAAAGGAGGTGCCACTAGTTACTAAATCTGAAATTTCTTGTACTTTTTCCAACAGACAGTGAATATTGGCTCAATGTGTTCAGTAAAACAGTGGCACAGTACTGACTTGTTTAACCAGAACCTCTTTATTTGTTAATAGTACTTAGAAAAAGCTCTGATCATACTATATGTCACAAACAGTAGGATTACAGATAGTCATGAAGGATTGACAGACTTTCACCACTGTATCACTACCATTTTCTTTTGGTCATGAGTATGGTACTCAGATGATATTGGCTGTTAAGTAGCTGAACAGCTGAAGGGCTTTATTTAATAGAAAGACTTATTTATGGATTAGTATCTTCCCTGAAAACACTTGCTTTTTAAAGTAGATCATTAGCAAGTATTGTCACAGTGGATTATCTTAATGTGATGTATCTTTCTGTTTTTTTCGGCAGGATATAAAAACTTTTGATAGCCACTTCTCCAGACTAAAAACTTTGGATGACCTATTCCCTCTTGGATGCACAGTTTTCATGCTAGGAACACCTTACTATGGCTGCACGGGAGAAGTTAGTTTCAAAATAATCTTCTATCGGATTCATTCTTCATACATTTAAACTATCAGAAGTAGATCAGATTGTTATCTGGGTATTTTTGAGCTATCATTTGTCTGTCTGTTGAATATACGACTTTGTACTTGCCTTTATGTCTTTTTAAACTTTATTTATTCATTAGAATAATGAATAAACTGTCTCATCTTTATTTTGTACAACTCCAAACAACATACATAATGCTCCCACCTCTTATTTTCCCCACAATGACAGCTACAGATATTTGGAATAATTTTTTTCCATTGTGAATGAAGTGGACTTAAACTTGAGTGTATCAATTATTTCTTTAAGGTTCAAGATTCCACTGATGTTATCTCAGATGGTAGAATTCGTGTTGTTTTCAACATTCCATTTGAACCTCAGCTGGATATCTTAATACAGAATCAGCATGTAAGTGTTATTTCTCTAGCTGTGGAATACCTTTGTAGAGTTCATTTTAATCCTTCAGGTAGTAATTGAGCACTATATGTTTCTGGAAAAATATTCAAATAATGAACAATTACTTTCATCTTTTCCATTTGTATTTATGTACACATACATTAGAATCTAAAGGTTCTAAAGTATGTTTAACTGGTTTTAAAACTTTTCTTTACAGTGGCAGAGGGAACTATTATTTAAAGAAAGAAACATATTGCTACTTTGGAATTATGGGCTAGATCAGAAAATTACTTATGCCAATACGATATTCAACATCCAGCCAATTATTGATTTAGAATTATAATTATAAAATTGACAAACCAGAATCATGGTGAGAAAAGTATCAACATTCTGAAACATTCCAGCCCTCAAGACCAATCTGTGGTCCAGGATATCACCTGAGCACTGCTTGCTACATGTGGCATTTCATATATTGGTTTTAGCAGTCACAGTATGCTTTTGTTTTAGTTTGGCTGTGAGATTAACATAGAATTATATTATTGTTACAGCTAGTTGCTATCCCATCTGTTGGCTGTTTCTAAACGGTACAATATTTAGAGGTGGCAACTGAAATGCTTTGCACCTTAACTGAAAACCGGGAGACTAGAAAATAACCTTAATTTACGCTGTCTTTCTGCTGGAAAAGAAATGGTTCTTGCCTTGGAATAGCTAATAATAATGCATTTGTATTCTTTCTTTTTCTTTCTTTTTATAAATCTATTTTGTTCCTTAATTTTTTCTTTTCTTCCAATAGCCAACTTTTCCTGACATATTAATGCCCCCCCTTCATTTCCATAGTACCTCTTTCTGCTCTTTATTCAGCAAATGCTGATTTCCTCATTTTTATTCTTTTTGTCTCTTTATTAGAAATGGTTTGTTGTGGACTTCAATAGTTGTTTATCCTATTGCATACCATTTCAGAAATAGCTAATCCTACTTACTTCAAGTCCAATGCATATATTTGCTATATGCCTGTGAATTGAAGAAGCATGATACAAGTCCACTTCATCAGAAACCTTGTGTAGACCTTCATCTGTAGACGTTTATTGTATAATCTGTAGTCTTATAAAGACTCCTTATTTTTGTTGCTAAAAGGTTAATATAGTTCTCAAAGATTCAAAGCAAATGTTTGATATTTTAGAAATATTCTGTGAAATATAATCCTGCATATGTGTTGGCCAGTCGCCTTGGAGTGAGCAGTTACCTTGTGTCAAGATTTACAGGAAGCATTTTTATTGGAAGGGGATCAAGAAGAAAGTAAGTTTGGAATATAATGCCCTTTTAAACCCAGGTTAAAATGCTATAGATCTGCTGCTTCTTAGGTGCTTTGAATATTGGTCTTAGTAGAGAAAAATTAATGGAAGTAGAACTTCTGCATATCAGCATTCTCCCTTCATTTGTGCATTTAGTATGGAAAGAAGAATAGATTGCAGAGTTTCAGGAAGGAGAATTTTGTTAGTGTCCAGTTTGCAGTTTAAAATTGGGAAAGAACACCTTTCTCTGAAGTGTGATAAGGAAATAAATACATGAATGCTGTTTTTCAAAAAAAACAAACTGAAACACTTTTGCATCACCAGAGCTATAAGTGCATCTCTCTCTTTCCCTTTTTGTGAGCCAGTGAATTCACTGGAAGTATTTTGGCTCTTGAAAGCTCATCAGAAGACCAGTTGACCCTCAAAAGTTTACAATACCGTTATCAGGTTGTTTACTTGTTTAATGTTTACTTAATTTGTTAATTAATTGTTTAAAGTAATGATGTTTACTTGTTTAATGTTTAATATTAAGAAATGCTTATTGTTGCTTTATAAAACTCTTTAAATCATTGTAAAGCATTGTAAAGTTATTTTTCCAACAGTGCTTTTTTTATAAAACGTTTTGTCCAGTTTTCTGTCCTCTTCTTCCCCACATAAAATTGTGTGCGTGCATGTTTAAAATGTATTCCAAGGCAAAGATAGGTTGAATTTTGAGCATAATTTATCAGGAAAGAGAAATGAAAGAAATGAAGAAGAGAAGCAGTTAGAGATATGAAGGCAGAATATACTTTACAGGTTGAAGCTGAGCAGTGATATTGATAATAGTGCTGTGCCCTCTTTAAGCATTTAGGCAGTTATGACTTCTTGAAGACTCAGCATGACTGCTTCAGGGCCTTCCTAGGTTGTCTCCAAATAAATGTACAGACAGTGCTTCATTTCGGACTGTTAAGGAACCAAAGCAGCAGTGTATGCACTCATTTCCAGAGGCAACCTATGGCAAGACTTCTGGAGGATGCTGAATGCCTTAGCTCTTTGCAGAGTGGGGATTCACTCATCCAATAAACTTTGCAGAGCATCCCTTCAAGTTCTTGATGTAGCTTTAGTTATTTCAGTTTCTGATACCTTCAGCCTTGTCAGTGATACCTGGTTTCAGAAATCATCTATCCATCCCTCTTATATGCCTATCCATCTTATATACAATAGCCCTGGGCAGCTCACAGCATAACTATAAAACATAAAAAAACCAAGCCCATACCTCATGGCACCCCAAAAACTACTCTCCCCCACATACCTGCATGTCTCTAGTCTCACCTAACCCAGTACTTGGGGGGAAAGACACCTCTTCACAGCCTTCCAGAAGGCCAAAAGTATGGTGGCCTACCAGATTTCAGGTGGGAAGTTTTTCCACAGGGCAAGTGCAGCTACACAGAAGGCATGCCTCCTAGGGTCTACCAGATAATAGCATTAAGGAGGGGACCTGGAACACACCCACCTTATTTGATCTGATAGGACGGACAAATACCCTCAGGGAGAGGAGGTCCCACAAATAATCTGGCTCTGTGCCATTCAGGGCTTTTAAGGTGATAACCGACACCTTGAATTGCACCCAGAAAGAAACTAGGAGCCATAGCAGCTCACACAGCAGCAGTATGATACAGGCAAACCACAGAGCATCCAGAGCATCTAGTGCACCACTGCATTCTGAACTAGTTGTAATTTCTGGGTGGTCTTCAGGGGCAGACCCATGTAGAGCATGTTGCAGTAATCCAACAGGGAAATAACCAGGGCATGAATGGCTGTGAGCTCATCTTTTGTCTGAATAAATCTTTCAGACTTAGTTTGACTTTTATTATTATTCATCCTCTGGTCTTTTTCAGCTGATAAATTTGAAGACTAATTAATATTAAGTGTTAAAATTAATATATAGTAAAATTATGCTAGAATTTAACTAACGAAATACACGTTTAATAATACGTTTGCAGGAAATAAAGTAGAATTTTAGTAAATTGCAATAAATACAGTTAACATTGGAGATCTGTTTTGCAGTCCACGTGGAGACCATAAAGCAAATGTAGGATTAAATCTAAAATTTAATAAGAGGAATGAAGAAGTCCCTGGCTATACTAAGAAAGTTGGGAATGAATGGATGTATTCCTCTGCAGTGGAACAGCTTCTAGCTGAATATTTAGAAAGGTAAGCTTAACATTTAATGTGGATTTATGTATGCTGTTGTGATGGACGGTGTTATTGTATAACATTGTAGGGAGCTTTGTTGGATTAAGCTAAAGATCTTTTGAAGCATTCTCTTTATCTCATCTATTTAGCCACCTACATATATCCTGGAAGCTCATTGTTTCTTCCTAGCAGCGGGATATGAAATATACTGCCTTTGATTTCAGCTGCAGCCATTTATGGTCTATTCTACATTTATTAATTTATTCAGTTTGTATGGCCACTCAGTCACTATGTGATTCCAGGCAGCTAATGGCCAATTAAAAACAAAATAACCAAAAAAAGACATATTGTACCCAAATTGTATATTCCTGTTTCAGAACAATGTTGATTCCTGGACTTCACTAGTTCTGGTGATAGTACGTTTCAGAGCTTGATAATGTATTGGGCAAAGGAATATTTTTTAATCGGTAGAGGTTTTATGACATATATATAGAAAAGTATGAAATAACCTGCTGAAATATATTTATATATTTCATAGGGTTCCGGAACTTTTTACTTACTTAGCCAAAAATAGTCCTGAAGATATATTTTATGAAGATGATATTTGGCCTGGTGAAGAGGAGAATGGGTATGTAGTTCATACTTTTTAGCAGATTAATAAATAAGCAGATAAATTTCCTGATCTTGTAAAGGCAATCAGCATGAAGATTGCCAGTTTGAATTTGGTGGACAAGTATTTGGGTTCAAGGAGGAGCACTTACATGCAATATTCATTCATAGTTGTAGGCTGCCTACAGTGGGGCAAAAAAGTATTTAGTCAGCCACCAATTGTGCAAGTTCTCCCACTTAAAAAGATGAGAGAGGCCTGTAATTTTCATCATAGGGATACCTCACCTATGAGAGACAAAATGGGGGAAAAAAATGGCACAGGGTCTTGCACTTTTTGGC